ATATATATATATATATATATATATATATATATATATATATATATATATATATATATATATATATATATATATATATATATATATATATATATATATCAGATTTTAATATTCGAGAATTTATGATCTGGGACCCATGAGAGACATGGATCCAACATAACTTGGTTCATTCTAGTTTCTTCAAAGAAAAATCAAAATATTACATAATTTTTTAAAACAAAAAAATGTGTAAAGACTAATAGTTTGATATAAATATAATTTAATATAACAAATTCGTGTTTCATTAGTTTAAATCGTTTAAGATTTTAAAGAATGAAAGCATATATTGCCAGTCAACTTGGCTTGAGTCAACGTGATGACAAGCTGTCGCATCAATCTTAAATCATGTTGAAAAGATTTTTCCACATCGTTATTTGACTTGGTCGCTCCGGCGAGTGGAGAGGGAGGCCGCCACAATTTTCCACCGAACGCCACGATTTTCCACAACGATGTTATCTAGCAGGCTCTTGTCATCCACCAACAATGTCCAACGGTTTTATATATGAGGCTCGTCATCATCCACCAACGGTGTCCTCACTAGTATCATGCACGGCGTCTATTGTTTCGTAGTTGTAGTAGTTCTGCTATGGGAGAGTTGGGTGACCGCCGACCCGCAGACCACCCTCCTTAACTCCGGCTGCAGTCAGTATAACGCAAGCGATACCTCCGCCTTCGTCACCACCTTCAACGAAACCCTCACGGACCTGCGCTACTCCCTCTCCTCCAAGGCCGCCGACAGCTCCGCCGCCCGCTTCGCCACCGCGCAGCGGCCCCGCACTGCCGAACCCGTCTACGCGCTATTCCAGTGCCGCGCTTACCTCTCCTCCGCCGACTGCCTCGACTGCCTTTCCGTCGCCGAGGTCGGTATCCGAAGATGCGGCAACGCAAAGGGTGCCCGCGTCATCTACGACGGGTGCATCCTCCGCTACGAGGGCTCTATCTTCTTCGACCAGACTACGGACATCGGTAACGCTGGCGTCTGCAACGGCAGCGCTGCGTCCGACGCGGGGTTCTCCGAGGCCGCGAAGGCGCTGGTGACGGACCTGACCATCGCCACGCCGAGGATCTCGGGGTTCTTCGCGGCGGCGGAGAGGGGTGGGGTCTTCGCGGTGGCGCAGTGCGTGGAGACGGTGAACGAGGAGGGCTGCGCCCAGTGCCTCACTGTGGCGGGCGCCAACATCGATGGTTGCCCGCCGGACACCGACGGGCGGGCGGTGGACGCCGGGTGCTTCATGAGGTACTCCAGCAAGTCCTTCTTCCCGGCCAACCAAACCGTGGATCTCTCCCAGTTCTTGAGTTCAGGTGAGCGAGTCCGCAGTGAAACTGAAACTGAGATGGCTTATGCGAAACGGTGCATCGTGGGAAAGGCATCTAGTTCTTTAGGAACCACACGGGAAACGTCCGGAGTGGATTCCGGTAGTTTTTGTCTTTACTTGGTGATCTGAGGGAGCTTATCTTGACGTGGCTGTGATGGTGGACCAGGGAAGTCAAACAATAAGGGAGCCATAATTGGAGGAGGAGTTGGAGGAATCTGTGGTTTGTTGCTTCTAGCGATCATAGCACTCCTGTGGGTCAAAAGATCCAGAAAACGCCAAGGGGTTCGAACAGGTTTGTGAATCTGATCTATTAATCTGTCAGCCATGGGAACTTTGTTCCTAAGAGTTTTGTTTTCTGAGAATTAGATATAGCGCTTTTTTTATATGATGAGGCCAAAGCGAGTCGTCACTATACAATGATAGGTTTCTAAATTGTCTTAGCTTAGTACTATTATTAATGTTTGAAGTACTATTTCTTGAATGGTTGTTGAATTTATTTAATGATTGGCATGATCAAAATGCTTTTCAGCTTGCAATTATTTATTTCATTTATGATCAATTCATTTTGTCAATGTTATGTTCAAAAAAATATTTAGTGATCGGTGTATATTTGAAATCGTTGATCAATTAAGTAAGGTTTCCACTTAATGACTGTATGAACAATAGCTAACATCTCATTTTCATAAATAGATAAACTCAAATGAGACGAAAAAAGTGTTTTACTAGTATAAGTAGTTAGACGGCCTTCTAGCATTAGTACAGCTCTAATACTCACTCTAGAAGCATCAGATTCAGTCACGAATAATTTGTTAAAATTTAGTAAAGCGGAAACGGACATAGTAGTCATTGCATATTTTAGAGAAATAAAAGCTTGAGTAGTTTCTTTTGTCCATTTAAATATATCTTTCTTCAAAAGTGATGTCAAAAGAGCATTGATTTTGCTATAGTTCTTCGTAAACTTCTATAATAACTAATGAGTCACATGAATCCTTTTAGAGCCTTAATTGATTTTATAATTGACTAATCTTTCATTGCATGGATTTTGGAAGGATCAATTGCAACACCCTCTTAAGAAACATGACCAAGTTGCTCTACATCTTGCGTAAAGCTACATTTTGATTTCTTGACAAAAAAAATAATGCTCACGAAGAAGGGTAAAGACAACCCGCAAATGTGATAAATGACTTTCTAAATATAGACTATATATCATAATATCATCAAAAGAAATCAGAACAAACTTACGAAGATGAACTCGAAAGATATTATTCATTAAACTCTAGAAAGTAGACGATGCATTGGTTAACTCAAAAGGCATTACTAGAAATTCATAGGACCATCATGCATATTCTAAAAGTGATTTTCTAAATATCATTTTCATGCACATGAATTTGAAAATCTAATTTAGTGAAAACTTGTGCACCTCCGAATTCGTCAACTCATCGACCATTGAAATAAAATATTTGTCTTTCATTGTAATATTATTGAGCACTCAATAAACTACACATTTATGCTAAGAACCATATTTCTTTCTTACTAATAAGACTAGAGAGGAGCATGGACTAACACTAGCCCTTATGACCCTTCTTCAAACATATCATTAACGATTTTGTCTATCTTTATCTTTTAAAAATATGGATATCGATAGGGCTGAACATTAGTTGGTGCACTCCCAAGTAGTAAAAGAATTTGGTGATCACGTGATCGAAGAAGTGGAAGTCCATGTGGTTTTGCAAATATATCAATAAATTC